TGTATTCGTCGATTTGATATAAACCTTTTTAATTCAAATAGTACAACGCGCATTCTTTAAGCTTTATTCACATCCCTTTTTTTTGTCTTCATAATTTAATTGGAATAAAATGGCCTTATTTTAGCCCAATACTTTTTTTTTTGACGAAATCGTTTTAAAAAATATTACCTCTATAGCCGTGGCGCGCCCGCAAAAAAACTACGTTTCATGCTCGGGAGTTGAGAAATGGGTTCCCATATTTTGGATTGCAAGGACGTAGAACCGCCGCGTTATGCAGCACTAGAAAAGTTGACGTTCGTAGGCTGTTTTTAAGTGAACCCAAGTTGATTAATAAGCAGACTGGTAACAATACGAATGAAATGTTCATTTTGTCTATTTCTTCATCTATCTGATGAAAAATTGGCAGTCACTTGAAAATTTGATGGAAAAAGAAATCGCAAAATTAAATTGAAATTTCTTTGTAATTTTGAAATGCTTCCTGGTATGAATACGGCTAACAGAAAATAGCCATTTTTCACAAAATGCTCATGAAGTAATGGGTTAAACGACTTTTTTTAGGGAAATCAAATGACGTGAAGAATGCCATACTGCAGCAGTTTTCTAATTAAGGCTGTAATATTCCAACAAGTTCCTCTTATTTTTTGTAAGAAACAATTGACACTGTTAATTGAAGTTGTCAGGGTAATTCGAGAGAGGATGTTCGCATAGTTAATTAACCAATCAAAATTAGTCTTTCATCTTTTAAAACTATGACTAAAACTCGCTTATTATAATCACTGTGTACTCATATTCCATCCAGAAAGATCTATAGACACTTGTGGAAGATTCAAGTCCCTGCTTAATAACAACTGACGTTTTCATTGCTCGTGGGAGTTGATGAGTTAATTGGGTACACATATTTATAAGAATTCGATCAAGACAACAAACTTAGAACCGACTCGCGTAAATACCGTGCAGCACTTGAAAAAGTTGATCCCCGTTCGTGTGCTCATTTGTTTTTAAGTGAATACGTCAAGTGGTGTGTATGTAAATATAGAGTACATTCAGGTAATTCAATAATAGAATGAATGCTTCAGATTTTTGTCTTTATTTCATTAAAAACATGTATCAGTGAATGAATACTGAATGGAATTGGCTGTGATCTGAAATTAAGGAAAGTAAGAGAAGGCTCCGTGCCTATTAAAATTAATTCCCAAAATTTCTGTTTCTAAATCTGATAATATATATAGCTTTCTTGGATGAATAACGAGCTAACAAAAACTGATGGCATTGGAAGAATCGAAATTAAATACACGTTCCGTCTACAATAGGCCATATATCATATTTTATATGCCAATGTTAATACGTTAAATTCATTTAGGTTTATAAAAGATATTGAAATATTTGTTAGAAAATTATCTATAAATATTTGTAGTTAATGCACTGCAGAATGTTTACAATATTTTCACTTCATTATTTTCGGCATTTTTATTGTGTAAAATAGCGGATATTTTACGCACGTGAAAAAATGGTTAAAAACGGCTTTGCACGAGACATCCGATATTTAACCTATATGTACTATAAACATATTATTCTGTTCTAATCTGTTCTGTTCTGTTCTGTTCATATAATTTTCTATTTATAAGACTTACTAGTTGTCAAAATGACCATGTCCAAATAACAACATGCATATCAAGATTTTGTAAACAAAAGAAACGCTGTGATATTACTACACACGATGGTGAGAAAAAAGTAGTCCTGTCCAACATTGCTGGTGGGAATATACGCAAATGGGCGTAATAATTCAAAAGATGAAAGCGGAGAAAAAAATGTGAAAACAAAAGTTATGACTTTTCCCTATAATTTTCTCATTGCTGTAAAAAGTGTTAGTTATTACATCAGAGTAAGTTTCCGACGTGTTAACAACGTTTGATTATAGATTAGAAACGCTTTCGAGCGAGCAAAGATCGAATCTGTCTTCCGAAGTATGAAACATCTTACTAAATTGTTTACAAAAAGGCATTTAAGTGCAATTTATTTAATTAGTATGTAATACTTGAAGTTTAAAATTAAATTCAAGTGTTTTTTTTTTACTTACCGATGAAAATTGGCGTTCAAATACGTTCGGGTATTTTAGTAGCTCTAACGACAAACTAAAGTGTTAAGTATAAAATAGTAAAACACAAGTTGGATATTTTTTGCGTGATGTACGAAATCAGTGTATTTATGTCAAAAATTGCATTGTAAGAAATAAGACATATTTGATTTCAGTTGCGCATGTCACTCCTGACGTGATATCTAAGGTATAGACGCACCCCATTCACTTGATGATGTATTATTTTCATCTGTCAGATATATCAAACGTTTTATATTTATATATTATATATGACATGTGCACGAGTGTCTTAGAGTGCTTATTCTAATACATTCCTTGAATTTATTCGCCCATGATGGCAATGCAAACATATCTTTCTGTATATATAATATAAATGTATAATACAGCAAACAAATACATGTATATCTTACATGTATGTATTAATTATAGTTCATATAAAAGCAACTTTCGGTTTTATTGAGGTCAAGGGTGACTTTTACTGTGATCAAATCACGTTAAATTATATATTTAACAGACATAGAACTGTATATACATTGTCGTCACCACATCATGCAGTGATAACTGAGATATTGCTAGGTATAATGTTAAATTATTGTTGATGGACACGTAAAAAAAATGTTGTCAAAAAAAAAGTCAAAATAAAAGAGTGACGGCGTACTTACACACAAGCTCCATGGCGGTGGGCTGAATGTGTGACTTGTTATTTTAACATTTGTAACATAATTTGTTTAAATGTCTCTCACTAGTTGCCTCGTCGAATACAAAAATATATTTATGTATATATTTAACTTTTTATACGACAAACGTTTTGTGAAAGAAGTGTTGAAAAAAAAACAACAACGAAATATCGATAGGAAATGAATAAACTTTAAAAGACTAGCATAAAACGTAAACAACATAAATCTTTTTTGAGCAGACTGTAATTCAACAACAAAAACAACAACAACAACAACAACAATTATAACAACAACAACAACAATTCTAACAACAACAACAACAATTCTAACAACAACAAAAACGTCAGTATATGAATTTTCTAAAATGAATAAGATATTATTTATAACTGATTGTGAAAGAATTATGAAGGTATTAAAACTTTTAGACTAGATAAGGTTACGCTTGTACTATATAACTATATACTTAGTCATGAGAACTGATTAAAGTAGTGTTTTCGCGAGAGACATTAAGATTATATTTGTATGAATCTATTAAAAGTGTTGCTTCAATTATATTCAATTCTGCACTGATATGAAACAAGTTACTCCCAATTATGCCGTCAGATCCTACTTTATAATGTCCATTGCCTGAATTTAACCAGCACTAATCAAGATCTTGGAAAGACCAGAGCTCGAACCCACGGTGCGGAGGTTGATTTGCAATAATCTATAACCACTAAGCTATTTCGGTCCTTTAATCATTCTAAATATTTGTGTACTAGTGTAATTATAGACAGACAGGCAGACATATACTTTTATTTACATTAATTATACATTGTAATTATAAAAAGCTTCGGGATGAGTTCAAAAAAATTCAATTGTCTTTCATAACATTATTTTTTGCAGGAGATCGAGCAAAAAACAACTCAATTTATGGGGTAGATTTTTTCCCTCCTATTTCCATACATACATTAGATATAGATATACAATCAGAATATTAAATCTCTTTGATGTTTGCTATAAGATCATGTGTTCCATAGCAGCGTTCCTTCTGTAATATTTTCGAGTAATTCTGTTTACAAAACAAATAAATTTTCAACGTATTTGTTCGTAGTTTAATTCCTTTATATTGGGGGACCTAAACAAAATGCATTGACTTTTGAAATTACTTTTGATAATATAATTCGAATGTTGCCTTTTTAAATTAAAAGACACCTCTTTAACAAAGTCTGGAGAATTGTTGCCAATTAAATGTCTTGAAATTATATTTTTTATTGGATAATCTCCCTTTTTTTGCCATCACAAATCATCAATTTAAAATAAAACTTATTTTCAAAATCTACCTATATTTGAGCCGCGTCACGACAAAACCAACATAATGGGTTTGCGACCAGCATGGATCCAGACCAGCCTGCGTATCCGCGCATTCTGATCAGGATACATTCTGTTCGCTTACCAACTCTATTACAAGTAGAGAATCTAATAGCGAACAACATGGATCCTGATCAGACTGCGCGGATGCGCAGGCTGGTCTGGATCCATGCTGGTCGCAAACGCATTATGTTGGTTTTGTCGTGACGCGGCTCATTTATGTTTGAGTTTATCTGTACATTGAAATCAAAACATCTGCCTTAAACGATATTTTACGAGTCTTGCATGTAAAAGTGAAATTTAATACCCACAACTGAACTGATGTCTTTAAAGAAGTTTGTGCACAGTTCAATGTCAGATTGAAAAAGATGATAATATTACTAAAATACTAACTAACATACTGACAGAAAAATAAGATGGTGTGTTCAAATATATATTTAAAAAACTTCGTATCTTCGTTGTAAGTAACGCCCGTTGTCCCAATCTCCCTCCGACCCCTCCCCTCCCAACCCCATTATCTCCTCGATCATCTCATCCCTAGATATTACCCCCACCCACCCCTGCCATCACCACCACTTTACTATTCCAATTTACTTCGACACTTATAAAAAGACAAAAATCCCTCCTTGAGCTACATCAAAGAAAATGGGACACCTGATTTATGAAATATGTTACAAATTTTACCTTGATGAAATACAGTAAAGTATGTTTTATTATTTATTATTGGTCTGATTTTTATAATTTATTATTTGACATGCTTTCTGAGCCGATATTTATGGTTTATTTACAAATAGAAATATTAAACAGATAGTGGGGTATATGATTAAAAAAACATGAATTACAAATACGGCAAAGAAAAAGAAAATTGTATAACTTACAGCCATCTTATCCCTGTAGCCCCAAATGTACACCAAAACACAATGAGTATGCCCAGACAAAACTTTGTCAAGTTGCCCGGCACTATCTTTAGTACATGCATTATGACACAAGTATCAAACTGTAAAACACTCTACAGAGAAAAAAAATATCACTCTTTTTATTTATCACATTTTCACATTTATATTAATCCTAAATCCACGGGAGATAGACTCATCACTGTGATCATTTTCATCAACACCACGCCGATTTTTAGTATTTAACTGTAACCCCCTTTTTATCGTGACTCAGGCCATTTTATTTCAGCGTTAAGCCAATGAGCAACTTTAAGTGTCGTACTAATTTTGATTTTTAAGTAGAATAACACATTGCAGGGATTTATATCCAATTTTTTGTTATACCATCATCTTGTGAATGGGTTTTTTGCACGATTTTCACGTGCATGTAAATCTCGGAATAGATCAACAATTATTATTATAATGATGCTGAGATATTTTTTCTTGAAATTAAGACTGTCATTAAAGTAAAATCATCTTCACCGCAATATTAGTATATTCCAATAAATTACAAATGCGGTCCCTTTGAAGTGTTGTTCCCCTCTTTTTTCCTCTTAACTTATCCCATAGATACCTTGATATGTAATTTAATCACAATTTTTACGAAAAGTTAATTATTTTCTTATATCATTCATAAAACACTCAATTTATATTTACACACGAACACTTGAGCCTTTCCCAACGTAATTCCAATAGTCTAGAATATCCGAACACTGTTGAGTGAAATGTACATGTCTTCATCTAATCCAATTAATTTTCTCCCTTGTAAATAGAGCCAAAACTTAATAACATTTCATTTTCTAAAGTAGTTATCTTTAAACATCAAAATTATGAAAATAAATGTTCACTGCCTTATCGTTATAAATGTATTCATCAGTAAGCGGTGTTTTCGCTTGTTCAAATCTAAAGACTAGATAACTAAACTTACGCGCATTGAAACATTTCGAAAAGTCTTCTTTTTTTTTCATTGCCCGATAGCATTCGCACCTTTAAATCCCGCCCTTATTTATCGCGCATGAATAACTGACTCGACGCTTGAATGGACAGAAAGTAGTCCGTATTTTATGTTACTTAATTATTTTTCTACACTCAGTGTCACAGTTTAATGTTATTTTCATTAAAACTATAAATTAATCTTTTCTGTTATCAATATGAATTTATCGTTCTCTTTCGTATAATTCAAAATATTAAATAGTCAAATTTGTAAAAAAAAATCAGAAATGTGAATTACTTTAAGTTATGATTCACATCGCTTTGAATTTATATATTATGTGTTTATATCAGTTTAAATCACTGTATAGAATATTGATATACAAAAAAGCATTTTCGAGTATTTTACATAACAAATTTATACCAAATCATTAAACATAATTATGGCTATTAACAGTAATGTGCCCCGGTTGTTCATTCTACAATGACAGACATCTCAAATACTCCGATTCGTTCGTACCATTAAACAATCATCAACGTTCCGGCACTATTTTTTATAATAATACTCCTGATGACTTTTACAGATCCTTCCGCATTTCTTCACGCATGCGTTAACTTATTCGCTGTTCTTAACTAGTTTTCAAGTAGGGATTTTAGAGTTATAACAACCAACAGGAGATCTTAAATCCACGTTTGAATAAAACGTTTTTTATAAAGTCAAAGGCATTTTCAGACTATGTATTTATTAATTATAATTGTGCTGTTGGCAATGCATCCGTTATGCGAATAGTTTCAGTTAATTTCAAACGAAATGTTTAACTAATAACTTCGAGAATAATAGTCTTGTTGTTTTTGTTATAATTATTATTTTCTTCTTTCTTCTTCTTCTTCTTCTTGTCTTCTTCTTCTTCTTCTTCTTCTTCTGATAAATTATCCACGAAATGTCCCGACGGATTTTAAGAGAAAATGATTAAAAAAAAATCTCGATCAAATATGTAGGAATTCACACATTTCAAAATTTCTAAATTTTGCTGATTTTTTTTTCTCATTTAGCACAGTTGGCAGCAATTTGTTATAATATAAGTGATTCAAAATACGTTATATTGATAGATTACAGTGTTAAATTAAAGCTTCAATGATGTATTATATAACACCTCGAAATATGCAACTTTAACAATTAACTTCTGATGAATAAATTCTGATCAGCGTCAGCTGAAATCCTTAAAAAACAGTGTTTTACTGTAAAAAAAACTTTTCGATGGCGTGTAATCAAATTGATCCCCTTATTTTAAGAGGGGTCACGGTGATTATATAATTATTGTAGACATTTTTTATGCCTGTATATTGAATTTGAAGTGACTTTTTTTTCATTTTCGACAAAAAACGTCAACATTAACGTTTTACGTAAACATGTTAAGTATATAATACGTTGTAATGTCGTATTTTTATGGTTGTATTTTGTGTATTGGAATGAGATAACGTTGTTCAACCAGTTCAACAAATATGCACGTGGGAATGAAGCTGGACAAAAGTTATAGTACTTATTTACAGAGAGTTATGAATCAATGGAAAGCCGAAGAGTATAATAAAACCTGTAATACACGGGCACGTGATATACTTATACATGTAGTATACATTCATTGTACACGTGTTTCTTATTGCGATTCCATTATTTGCTTTCAATTTTTTTTAAAGGGGCGTGCCTCCAGATTCATGCTTATTTCATGTAAATTTGGACAACAACGTATTTAAAGTAAAATATTGTGAAGTGAAGTGATAAATACTGCAAAATCAGTCATTAATCGCACAAAACATGTAAATCATTACTAAAATCTTAAATGTTTTTACTTTTCTTAAAATCTGAGTACATTTTTCTTAAGTTTGATTTTCTTAAAATATTTTAGCTCATCTGAAGGCATGCACCTTTAAACTTATAAAAACTTTAAAAGGATTCTTGTGGGTTTTTTCTTCATATACTGCTGATAAAATGAATTGTATTTCCATTATCGTAAATTTTTTCTTCACATCTTATTTAAGAAACATCAAGGGAGGCCCCGTTAAATCCATTTTCATAGTATGTACGAACTTCATTAATTCAGGGAGCGATCATTAATTTATTAAGATTTAAATCTTGTAAAGTCATGATTTTCTGCCCGCCCTAATGTAGACGGTATAACACTGTTGGTATGTGAGATTTGTTTATTCTTAGATAATGAATGTGTAATAAATGATATTGAAGTCTATGTACACACAGAACTCTGGGGAAGGAAAGAACGCGAGTGACGGGTAAAGTTTCATTCAAATTTGATGTCTAGTGAAAAAATATTAAAATATCCTTAACCTACTTGGGTTCGGTCTTAAGATAAGTTTGTTGACTACAAGGTTCTGTCGCTCCGAGGAAGTGAAACCAACAGTTACCTTAGCTAAGAATCTACGAGTTTATGACGTGTTGGTCCTTAGATTTGTTTTTTAAGACTAAATATTTAATATAAACGACTCTTTTCTCCGTAATATTTTGCCAGATTTCAGTTGAGATTGAAACAAAACATGATACGTAGTTTGATAGTTTAAAAGGTCACATCGGCACTTAAAAGGTCATATGATAGTTTGCTATCTTTATCAGTGAAGAAGGAATACAGGTACCATTCCTTGCATTATTTCAGTCACAGGAGAACTTAATAGATGTCTTTAATTAGATTGTTACCCAGAGCCTATGCTTAATAGGAAGGCGAATATACGATGATGAAAAGTCAAATAACGAAACCACGATGGTGAAAGGTCGAAAGTACGAAAGCATCGTGGTTTCGTTATTTCGACTTTTCACCACAGTACTTCCGACTTTTCACCATCGTATTTTCGTTGTTTCGAGTTATGTGTGTAACTAACGGGACACCGTGCATTTTCCCCACTGTCTCCCACCCTACTAATAGCCGTGGGAGAACGTGATACATTGTAGGACATCCCCTATAAGGTATAAATTTAGGTCAAAAATGCCCATTGGTGACATATTTGAGTACATGTTTTTTGCCGCATGTTTTTAACCAAATTACAAAATATTTTGTTCCTCATTTTAGTTTTCGACATAATCATAAAGGTCAAAAATCTGGTTCTTCTCATTATAAGTAAGGACGGTGTTATCGATAACGGCAACTGTGATAATATAACCCCTTCCAAGCCCTCTGGTTAAATGAGTACTCGTGCACGTGTCTAATCACGTGCAGTATCAGATTAGCGCATTGTACACTTGCGTTTCACTTTGTTGAGCCGAAACTAAATGACGAGTGTAGGGATGACTTTCAAAATAGTTCATGTTTCTACATGATTTGCAGAGGTGAATTTCATATGCATGCACGTGAATATCGTGCTGATAATGCAGGTAACCATTTCTTTTTACAACCGTAAATTTTATTAAAAAAAATAAAGACTGCTTGACCTAATCCACATTTTAACTTTAGTAACACGTGCCCAACTTCAACACTTGTTTTAATTTTGTTCAACTAACATGCACGTCTATCCAAATAAAATTGCTTTATAAGCGAAAAATAAACAAAAAGTTTGAAATTCTTTTCCCCGATAAGAGTTTAAAGTCCTAATTATTTCACCATTTGATTGTAGGAACCATTAATTCAAGACTGTATTTGACAAAATGATCATGAAAATTCTATTTTTGGCATCTATGAATGTGTAGGAGTGTCCAAATTGTAACGACAAGCTACTAAAACAGAACGTTTAGTCAGTTACTTAAAGTAAACTTCGGAAAATAACATTTTTTCCATTCATGATAACACATCCACTGTCGGGTTATGAAAGAAATTATGTTATTCGTTCAAAAGATTCTATCAAAAGTAATGTGTATGACATATGTCTACTTGATTTTGTTATACACGTGTATATTTATAAAAAAAATAGATTTAAAAACAGATTCAACCATTATTTTTAATATTTTAACAAAATTATAATTAACATAAATTTCCTATCTTTTTTTCTTTTACTTGAAATTTTGTCATCCAGGGCCGTTTCCTATCATACGATTAAAATGTTATTTTCATTCTGCGGAAATACAAAAATATAATAAAATAAATCTGTGTTTTCTCTTTAGTGATAACTCCTACGCTGGTGCAGTCGTTAAGGATGATCTAATTACCTCCCTTATTTAGTTGTTCATCGAAAACGTAACTCTAAAATAATTCTTTTTTATCCCGTTTTGAATTACGTCCCTTGCATGAATTTGCCCGTGTCACAACGAATTTTATAAAAAGATGTATTGACTGTATTTTCTTCTTTAGACTAGGTACCATTTCATGTATGTCGACAAATATTACTCCGTTTTTTTCTGCAAAATTACCAAAAATGATAATGCTAAGTCTAACCGCACAAAAAATAGATTTTAAGTTCCATTCTATAGAGTTGGGAACGTTACAAAATTCCAAAAATATTTTTATGTGATATACAAGCGCATTTATATTGTATAATTTTATATTAACGTTGTAAAAATAACTATTAGCCCTATTTACACTGTCCCGGTTTGGCGTGCCACGGTTTAGTCCTCCGGGATCAACAAAAAAACAATAGCCTTTTGTGATGCTCGATAGTTTTCCCACTTTTGTCAAACGATTGTGTGTTTTTGGTTTTATTTATACTGGGCGCCGGTTTCCCATATGTCCCAGACTAGTCGGCCTCTATTACGATTGCTGGTAACGTAGAGCCTGCAACGGAGGACTTATTCGCCTGCAACGTTGTCGATGTCGTAGAGCCGCAACGGAGGTCTTTTCAAGCTGTCGATCGTCGTAGACCTTCTCTAGGACCAAATTCCTCGCTTCATGAACAAATGACAATAGAGGAAAGGCACCTCTTCCGGGAGCAGCAGCTCTCTTTACGGCCACACCCTTCGTCGTTGGTTAGGTCACACCAGCTAAGTGACCTAACTAGGTCACCCATCTGGTGTGACCTATGCCTTCCGAGCGACGTGCACGCCACGAAGGGAAGTCGGAAGGTGTCAAACGATTTATTCAAACATTTATTTTATAGGGTCCAAACAGGTCGAGGTCACTGGACTTGAGGACAAAAGGCAAATTACTAAAATAAGTGCGAGTACTTTGTATGCATATACAAGTACAATCATATAGGTTTGACATGTCATTAACAAATTACATTAATGCAGTACAATTTCTTAAATATGAACCTTCATGCGAAAAGTCAGGCTCGGCAAATAGAATTTTACGCACAAATTTATATTACAAATTCTGTCATATCTTTTGATTCTGTCAATGGATTTTCTTCTGATAAAGTTTAATGTTACCGGCTAATGTCATTTAGTTATTTTATGAAAGAATAAGACCTTATTGCTTCAAAATTGTAATAGAAACTCCATTTCTTTTAATGAGAGCATGAAATTTTGGGTTAAAATACAAGTAATCACAATTAAATGTGCTTTTTTCATAACTTTTTCTTTCAATATTGTAATAAAACTTACTGATTATGATTTATACCTATATACCATGGTTAATAAAGTAATGTACCAACATATATACCCTACATCGTTTACTTAAGATATCAATTAAGACAAACCGAGGTAATCTTAAGGTTAGCAAAGAGGTTACCATATCACCATGGGCTATGTCTTCTGACAAAGTAAGATTAGCCAACTCTCACACAAATAAGGCTTAAAAAAGATGGCACATACCGTCTCCCACTTTAAATCATTGAGAAGTCTTAATATAGTCAGAATTAGAGAAATTTCTCCTAATATACATCAAAATAACTACCAAATATTGCCCGAGCATTGAAAGTCGCTACCGTCAATAGCTGAAGTTTCAAACTAGACATAAGTTATTATCTTCTTAATGTGTCCTGACAAAGCTGCTGCCAAACTGAGCCGAATGAGTCCTTCCATAGATCTTTACCAGGATAAGGTAAGGTCCTGTACTCAAACCCAGGCTTTGGTAACTGCATGGTCTGAAAAAAATATGCAACACTAGTACATCATGTACATGTCGAAGAAATTTTAAGAGGCATTTATGCTGTAATTCTGATATCTGAAAAAGAAAGAAAATAATGTCTTAATTAACCAATTGTTTGATTTGCTAATTCACACAGTAGGGCTTATATAAATATTGTGTGCTGAAAAATGCATGCCTGCATGAAAATAGCAGTTTAGACATTATAAACCTAACCTAATTTAACTGCTGTAGCAGCTAAAACAACAACAACAATATTACAACTGTGTTATTTTAAATGAGCCAATTATCCATAAAGTACACTGTTTAATGACTAGAAAATCTTTTATGTGTATATATTAATAGCAAATACATTCTGCAACACAGCAAAACATCAAGTTTCGCTACACTGAAAATGCCTTTATTTACAACATGTAAATCACATTTGTCCTGTTCAGTTGTCAGTTCTGCTTCATTGAAATACAAGACAATAGTGAATATTTACATACTGATTACTACAGCATCAATCCTTTGCTGAAACATCAAAACATATAATGTGTGGTCCATATGAGCAATAGGCTACTATGGTGCTTGTTCGAATCCCATGGCCGGTGCTTCTTGGGCCCCTAAGATCTCTAGAATGAGCTTGCCAATCACTTTTTTTACCAATGTAACCAATCTGAACCCCAATCCCTTGCAATGCATAGTTTATCCGTAATTTAAGATGCATTTCTCTAAAAAATATCGTTTTCTATATAAATCTTATAAAAATAAGCTATAGTAGATCTATATTGCTAGACACAGGGTGCAAAAATAAAATTTATCAATTTTTAAACTGCTTTATAAAAAATTTAAATTTCATTTTTTAATTTTAAATTTATTTTTACAGTTTTAATTCAATAAAATGTGGTTAATCTTTCATGCAAAAGCTCTGTACCCTCCTCCCTGCTTACTGACACAGTAGCAGACATCTACATTTGAAGGGGAGATAACAATAACAACGTCTGTCCCAATTTAAAATGTCAAAATTTAAAATAAAATCTAAATTTTTCAAACCTGTCAGTTATTCTATATTTTCCTGATTTCTATTAATGAACACAACACTGATGCAAAGTTTCATCCATATCCATCAACCAGTTCCCATTTTTCTCATTTCTTATCTTGGACTCGGCCCGGTGAATTTTCGTACTATTTGTTCTATAGTAAATCAGTCACATTTGACGCTTAATTCTGGATTCCACTGCTCTTGATGAGTTATATACTGTCTTCAACTTTAAACATTAACACTATTCAAGTCCAATGAGGCCCAAAATATAATAGGTTAACCATCTACTTTTTTTCAGAAATCTTCATTCTGTTGTAGCACTGTTTAAATTCACCACTTTAAAAACTCTTGACAGCTGGTGGGTAGTACACCTTTAATCCTTCCGCCAACAAATGAGTTCCTGGAGAATACACAAAAACAACTTTTAAGGACATCATATAACATACAAAAACTACACACATGCAATAAATACACTTTAATTATGACCAATCTAACTAGAGATGACTTAAAGTGGGCCACTTTAAAATTTTAAAGAACTACTTTCTAGACTACAACGGGTTGGGTCTAATTCCGTACCGGGTTGAGACCTAAATATGAAGAAACTTAAAACTGACACATGTTCCGTATAGTACCCTATACGAACGAGATTGACAATAGGCCTACTAGTATTTCATAAACTGTATTAAAATGTGGATGTTTATTTTGATTGCTATATTGACATAGAGTTCTTTTGATATTTATAAAATAGAAGAAGTTTACTTAGTTTGTGTTTTTATTGCTTTATTGCAATATTCATAACAATTCATTACTTAATAACAGGTGCCCGTAAAATTCGAATACATCCGGTCAAGTAGCTTTGCATGAACAACGTCTAAAATAAAAACTTCTCTCTAATTTATTCGCGAAATCGTGCGGACTTATTCGCGCAAACAAATATTCGCGCTTCGTGGCCATCCGCGAATAAAGCGAATAGTAATTGGTCGCGAATATTCGTTGGGTTACAGTATTAACCGCCCCTCAAATAAATAGGAAATTTCTTATTTACTAAATTATTTGAACTTTTTCGCATAACATTATTTCAAACTCATGCAATAAATTCAATATAGCTACACTCATTCATTATTCTCTGACACGTTTTTTTTCTTTCAATGAGCGACCAGATTGAATAAACACAGACTCATTTCATCTGGATAATCACTTTTAATATAATATGAAGACAACAATACACACTATTTCCAGAAAGTGGAGGCTTTTCTTTCCATTCTGCATTTTATACAAAAGAATATTCTAAAACTAAACATGTGTATTTTAATTGGTAGATAAATGTTGGTATATGTATATTAACAACGAATATATACATGTACATGTGTTATGCCACAAGCTAGAAAGATATTCATACCCGATGGGGCAGCATTGTTCAATTATTTATTTCTGAACTGACATTTTTTTTTCAGATATAATTATATCATTATCTACATACAAATATTTCATTATCAGCTGACTGAACAAATGGAAAGAAAAATGCGCCGTACGTTATCATTGATATTTTGTGCGTCATACGTTATCATTTCCGGAAATGCCCCGATATTAATATTTACAGCAGTAAATCTAGCCAGAATGGGCATGGATGCTAAGACGACGACCTACTACAACTTTTTAAAGTCGGTGATTATATTTGTAAAAGAAACAGTAATTTTGTGAGAAGAAGCCGTACGTTATCACGATCAAACCGGTGGAAAATTCTCTCGCTTCGAGTCTAGTGACGCGCATTTAAAAAGAAGTACGGGACGATACATCATGAAATAAAATCCTGTGTGCCCGGAAAATTGTGGAGAAGGTTTACACAAGAACATCACGAATTTCAGAGAAGAAAGGGAAAAACTTACTTTTCGGCTGCATCCGCCATCTTGTTTGTTTGGGTAACGAACGGCGTGATTCTCCCCCTTGAACACATAACTGGCCATATCGTGCCGAATGCTATAATAGGCTTAAAATGTTATGTAAAAACGTTGTAAATGACAATGAAAATGAGACAATTAGATTCTAGAATACAAGTTTATCTCTTTTAAATAATCAATGATGTTTTTGATGGAATTGTATTAAAGAGTTCTTCGAGTGAATTTACAAAATAAAATCTATAACTGGCCTGTGAAAAATCATGACATTCAAGAAGAAAATGCTTGACATTACAAGCTACACAGATAAGAGTGGGTAATTTTAGCGTGTCCAATTCGGCATCGAAGAAGAACTGTTTGATCATGGCGGTTTGACAGAGATAGAGATGGTGACACATCAAGAGATAGGTTCATATCATGAAGTTTATTAAAAACGGCATTGTCCCAATTTGCTTTCCATTCAGATGATACGAGTTTATTTATAGCCGGTCAAAAATCACAAGCAGGTAACAATAAGTCAGTTTTTTTTGAAAATTTAATGATTGTTTAGCTAAAGCATCTACTTTTTCATTTCCTCGTATACCTACATGACTTGGAATTCAATATAATTTAACAGATTTTGTTTTAAATATATCATGAAATCGTAAAAAGAAGATTCCTTATCATGATATTGTCATATTTTTATTTTCAATGGATATTAAAACAGAAAGCGAGTCAGAAAATATTACAAATTTATCATGGGTATGCTGTACTATGTATGACAATGCTAAATCTATAGCTTTTGCTTCAGCAGTAAAAATTGATGCATTATCTGGTAACCTCATACTAGATGTAAAATTATTTTCAAACACAGCCGCACCTACTTTGCCGTCCGTATAAATATGTATAAAATCTTCATGTTCTTCCTTAATTGCTAGATACTTCTTTTTAAAATGTTCAGGTGAATTTGATGACTTTTTTATATTTGAAAGGTTAATATTTATTTTCGAGGAATTATAAGTCCAAGGTGGAATATCCTCATCGTCATATTGAAGGATACTGTCCGGATTAATTTTAAGTTTATCTAAATCATCTTTTAAACGAAGGCCTAATGGTTTAATTTCCTTTGGTTTGTTAACAAATGTTTAAGTATAACTTGGTTAGAAAATAATATTTTTAGCTGGATTTTTGGTATTAGATGAAATTCTAGTTGCATATTGAAGTGATACCTTTTTTCGACGAAGATGAAGCGATATGATTTATAACTAGTTTACAAGGTCATCTGTTAATAAGATATCGTTCAAGCTTACTTAAGTCGCGTGTATTATCTAACTTTAACTATGGCAACCTAAATAGATGGTTTTTTTCGAAATGGATATCTTAAAATATGAATAAGGAAAACTTCAATTCGTAGTAATATTTACATTTTCGTTGTAAAGGAAATTATAATTTATTTCTGGATGCATTTAGCATAAGTGGGACAAAATGATTTGGCAGAAATTAACGATAACTACAAGATTAACGTTATGTGCATTAATTCATTTTACTTCAGGTAAGGCTTTTGCTTTTTTTACTAAAAGAGATGTTATCTGGAATTCGACAAATGTGGGTTTTCTCATCTAATCTATGGGTACAAACAGACTTACAGTTTCATGATGCATTATCATTCACAGTTTCATGGTGCATTATTATTCACAATAGGGTAATCAAAGCGTTGTGTTTTCATATATAATGTTGAATACTGCTTAAGCCGTTGCTTGTGGACGTGGACGGTAGATTGCACTTGACAGTGCCGTCCATGAATCAAACTGACCTTGCAACATTTTCTGTCTTGACCTTTTTTCGCGTTCTTCTTGTGGGAATATATATTTCTCTCTCTTCAACCCCGTCAGGGGCAAGCCGTTGTTTACATAAGAAAAAATGAAACTCATTGCTTTGTACTGATCGGTTCCATGAGTTTTCAAAAAGCTTTTAGGTTCCAACACAGTCGAACTGAAAAAGATTCGTATAAACAAAACGATGATTGACACAAACATAACACAGGTCACACGCTTTTTGTTTTGTCATCTTTTCACCAGCGTTAAAGATACATGTAAATATTTGTTTTGATACGATATAAGATAACATAGTTTTGTCTCATATTTTCTTTTCTTTTGTATTTGTTAAAACACGCTTAAAGCATATTACATAAACAGCACATCCTGTTACGGCATAAATGGATATTGTTAACCTGAGAACTTGTTTATTATAATGCCATCTTCACCTTTTCTATTTTATTATCTACCGATATACCTTAAAACTTTAATCATATAAAACACATAATCAAAAGAAACACGTGCAACTTGTCACAAAATTGGTACAAATAGACTCTTAATGGTTACTTCAGCTAGAATTATTCCAGTGAAATTAATTTGTACTATACTGAATACCAAGATTTGTTTAAATTTAAGGACCCAAGGATGATATAACAAATATTACCTCTGATGGTCATATTCGATCTGAACACGTTAAAGTTGGGTGTATGGCAGTTTTACTTACAACACATACACCTGTACTTAATTGATCCAAAGATATGACTGTAGTATAGTTCAAACAGCATAATATTATACCCATCGTTTAAGACATTGAAAATTGCACAAAAGACATTTTCCGTAAAGTTTCCTTATTTCATTTCTTGTGCACAAACCTCATACTTAGTTATTCTTAACTAATATTGATACACTCTCAAAACGTTTAAGTTGTTTTGAATTTGTTTTCATGTAATTTCAGGCGGGAATATTTCTATACAGAAACCCGGTAATCAGACTGGTGAGACGCCATATGAATGTGGTAGAAATGTTACACTCACTTGTAAGTTTAAGAAAAACACATTTGCCATTGTGTGGATGAAAGCAACCGATATAATACCAATTGCAAAATGTACGCAAAATAATTGCGTTTTAACCCCTGAATATAACGGACAGTACACGTTTACATACGATATTCAGGGCATCTTAAATTTGACAATTATAGAGATAACCAAGGAAGATAATGGGAGAAAGTTGATTTGTTCAGATGGTTCTGACAGCGATTATGAAGTTATAAAAGTTACAGGTTAGCATTATAAATTGATTTAATTTATATCAAGTTTTCGTATAATCATTCTGAATTGTACAATACACAGATGAAATAAACTATCTCTTTTGAACATTATTTCGATATTTGTGTCTTTTTAGCATATATAACAACGTGTCCTATGGAATTATCCACCTGTCGTTCTTTCTCTCAGATATAGGGACAGGCTAAGCATACTTTTAGCACTAAGAATATAACACCACATGATCGAACAATTCTGTTCTTACATTATTATCGTATTTTGTCCAGAATTAAACAATTAATTAATGTATTTACAGACTATGAGCCTCTTCTTTTTGAAGATACAATTAGTGGGACTGTAAGGGCGATATCGGGCTGTATATCTCAAGACACTGAAGTTTCTTTTAAATGGATAAAGATGTCAGTAAGTTCTTATATATAAATTTTAGTAATAATGGACATAAACTTCCTTCCTGTACTTTAATTTGCTCAACTACTGTTAACGTACCGTAAGGAACCGAAGCGCGCACAAATAACAATGCATTGTTTAACAACTTGGGTGCATGAACAATTATTACTGCGTTTTGTTCTTGATGACATATTTCTTGATTCAAATGTCATTACTTTAAAAACGACTGGTAAAAGAGACGTATTAAATGATGCATCTGGTCCATCAGATTCGACCTATTAAATTTTTGTAGGTTTGTTTGTTTGTGTGTTTCATTTTACGCCTTTTCCCAACAGTATTTCAGTCATATAGGCGATGCTTGTAGGACAAGGACAACTAGAGGACAGTTCGTGACAAATTTTGTTATGATGTATTGCACTATAAACCATAAAACCATAAGAACTACAACAATACAAAAATCATAAGTTGACTAAAAACACAATAATCAATAATAAGTCACAGTTTTGACACATTTAACGATTTTGTAATTCTTACATGATATTACTTCCTAAATATAAAACATCTGAAAATGATATATTCAGGAGCAAACTTCAATCAAAATAACACTTATATGATTATACACAGTCAATAAGACATATCAAAACAACCGGCCCTTAGACGTTTCGGCCCTTTTTCGCAAGACGTTTCGGCCCTTTTTTATTTTCTATATGACTTCCTTTCTTTGTTTTGCCAACTTTTATATAAGATAGGTAATGCTTTTATACACAAAACACAACAGAACACAAAAAAGTCATGCAAACTGTTTAACTGACACAAACAGTTAAATGCTATCGTACCTTCTTCATAATGATAAGTTCAGCAAGACTTCTCTAAGGTGATATATCCTGTCAATCTGTAAATCTTTAATAAATCATGTTGGTTTTGACAATTACACGAAAACGCACATAATTATGTGTTGATCGAAATAAAATTTACAGATCAATCACAAAGCACAGGGGATTCTGTCATTTTTTTTCTTTCCCACTATATATATAATATAACAAGGGATACAACTCAAAATTGCTCAATTCATGAAAAAGTAAATATAACGCAGTATACAACAGTATTTTTTTCTTTTGATTGTTGGACATTGATAAAAGAATCGATAATTTCAAAAAAATGACACACTTTGTTACATGGACAAGATATTATTAAAAATAACCTTTCACGTTTCATTTTTACACACGTTCGTACAATTTGGATTTGTAAAATTACACGTGTAAAACGACATCTAATGCAAACGTATGCTCATATAAGAAAGTTTAATCATGTAATCGGTAAAAATCAATCATGTACCTCCAAGAATGATGCAATCATTATCTTCTGGTACAAATTATTGTAACAATTATTGTTTGTTTTGATAATTATAATCCTCGGCTTCCATTTTGATGTTGCCCGTATGTTCGATGCGTAAATCCAACTTCTGTTAGTAACTGTCAATTTCATTGGCTAATGAATAATAATAATCCGGATAATAACGACATATAGCCGCGAAAAATAGCGGTTTTTTCATCAGCCAATGAAAATACTCGGAACATAAACACACCTGCAAAATGGACGACAACATGACAGCAAATGTAAATATTGAAATATTAGCTATTTCCTGCAATGTTACAGGTTTTAATGAAGTGTTTGTAGTAGAACTTGGGTAATGACTCGTTCATATATTAACTTCTACAATAACTTTGATGGAATAGAGGATATTTTATACAGTTTACACGTGTGAATGCATTTTACGAACCCGTGCTGGTAGTGAGAGGCCACGACTTGTATCTCTTGTTTATATTATATATATATATAGATTTAATAAAAATGACAGATTTCCCTGTGTCACAAAGTATACAGCCCCATGTTTGTCTTTCCAGGGATCTCCCGCTGCGTACTGGTCCAGAATGACTTCGTAATTAAACTTATAAATTGTCCTACAAGATTATGCCAAGTTTATGATGTTGTAACGTAAGCACGCTCATCATTTAATAGGTTTAAATGTCATTTTGTATCATGATTTCTTCGAATTATCGACACTGACAGCTGATTTGTAAAACTGTTTCCGTTTTCCGTCACTACTAGCTTTGAGAAATATCGTTGCCTTCATATACAACCGATAATAATCTATTTCGAAGCAAATATGAACAAAATTTGAGACGAAGCGTACAAACGGCAGCCATTTTATTTCTGGTTAATATTTGGTAAAAATTTAACCCACCTCCTATACGTGGGCTAATTTAACCAGTAATTAACGCGGGTTAAATTTAACCTAAATTTCATGCAATCGGTTAACCAAAGTTTAACCTAAAATTAAACCTAACTACAGATTAAACCCAGTGGTTAAAGTTACCCAACGTTTATACGACGCAGGATGTGTGATCAAAATAGCGATCAAGATATTTCTTGCAGTACGTTTTACCATATACCATACACCACAAGTATGACTTTGTTTCCAGATTTTTTTTGCGTTTGGGGCAAATAACACAAAGTCCAACTGTTTGTTCAACAAGAACTAGTTTATCTCACTACAGGTAAAAAGGGAGACGGTTGTACTCGATCTTTCGGAACGACAGCCATTCGTTTCGTTTGTGCTGGCCGTCTTAGTTTGCGGCAAATGACATACTGACGGATAAAGTTCAATACCATCTTGTTCCCCAAATGTTAACCGTCAGCCCGAAGTTGATGATACATTAAGCCTCTTCCTAAATGTTGTACCGTCTGGTGATCGTATAAGATAAAAAGACTTGTGATGTGTTCACCCTTTGGAAGTATCACGAAATGTTTGACAAAATCCCCTAGATCTTCTTCTTTCAATCTCCCACCAACCCAGAGTAAGCCACCGACAAGAATGTGCCCAAAGGTATAAAGCCTGTTTGTTTGTCGCGAAGTATCTGATAAGCACATAATGTTAAAGTCATTGTTAAACGCCTTTCGTTGCAGGAGTCTCAGTAGCGCAAGTTCCGAACCTCTTCTCTCTTCCATTGATGGACAATGAACACCCAAAACATTATTTGCTAATCTTATGATTCTAGCTGTGACAGAGACAACAGTTTGCCAGTTCCCCCCAAAAAAGAAGAAAAGAGGATTTCCTTGTGTGTGTAGGGATCGGGCAGCTTTAAGTACAAAACTTGCCAGTTGTAGCTCAGTTTCACCTTTTGGTGACACTTTTGCTTGTGTCCCTTGTTGTTTTCTCGTCTACGGTAAGTATCTTCCCCCATTGCCTCTAGTTTTTATTTCTTTGATTAACCCCACCCTTCCCCCGGTCTCCTGTCCCCTTCCCCTTTGTGGGCCTATTATTATTTTCTTTGAATTCCTAATCAGTTACAAATTATTTATCATTTAATGATTAACCTGTCCGTGCTCTATCTTTGCCCTGTCCTGTTTTTGTTTGGGGTCCGCCTGGGCTCCTTGCCATTGGTTCTTGTTGCTGGGTCATATGGGGGTTGCGTTCATTGAACGCCGCCTTTCCTTGTTGATCTTATTTATCATATTTTTTGATTTATCAAACGAACGTTGGACCCTTTAATCAAGAGGAGCAGATGAGTTGCAGTGTTTTCAAGCCACAAGATGCATCATCTGCTGAACTGCAACCAGATTCAAAATAGAACCAGTGGGAAACGTCAGTTGCTTCGACGACTGGCGACAAAGATATGGACCCTCTTTGATTTGTTACTAATGTAGCCAATGACCACCCATGGGTTGGACCAAAAAGAAAAAACAAAACGAACTCTCCGACAAAGGAACATCTAATTCTTCTTTCAAGACAGAAAGTACAGCCGCTAATAATTTAAGACGAAAAATGGTGACGACCTTTAAAGGTGCAACCCTTGCCTTTCCCATCAGAAATGCACAGTGAACTAATATTTCATCTACAAATCCAATATAGGCACATTGGCCATACCCAGCTTACATCTGGAAGGAGGTGTAACTCAATACTGACATGGCTTACAGAAAATGTGGAGGGATAAACCGTGGAATATTGACACTATTTAAATTTGTTTAATTCCCCATCCATAAGTCCAACTCAGGCTTCCTAGCTCAGACTTCCTAGCCGATGCTAGGGGGCGTGAACGGTTACTTGCACTTTCCATTACCGTTCATGAACAGGCTCAATCAAACCAAGCCTGCATCATTTTAAATTTTTGTCGTTTTGTGCGTTCTTTAGGGATTCTTTATTTATCTCTATTCCTGTAGTTTAAGGGTATGTCGTCCTAGTATACGCTTCCCTGTCAATACAAATGGCGAAGGAAACCCAAGTGGATCAAATATCGAAGCCACAACTGACAGCAGTTGGTGTCTAGAATGTAGTGTTTTTTAACAGTAGTCTGAATGTCGTCTATATTAGGGCACGTTTAACTCGAACCTCTTATGCCAAATCTAACCTTTTCATCTCTGTGGCTCGTTCAGAAACTGGAATTGAGTCAATGATGCCTTTTCTATTTGATATGGATTTATACAGACAAGGACCTACATTTGCACAAAGCAGTTGTACATCGTGTATAAGTTATTTAGCTTCATTTTCCATTTCTACAGTGGTCAAACCATCATCTACATATAAATTTTTCTGTACAAAATATGATACTTCATGTATGTTTTCTCTTTGGACTTATCTAGGTATGTAAGGCCATAGTTTTCACATATATGTGACGATGCCGCACCAAAAAGGTGTACGTTCGTTCTATATACATGTATACTGATGGCTTTGCGTCAGTATTATCATTCTCCCACCATAAGAACGTAAGTGTTTGTCTCACTTTCATCGACGAAGAATTAATAAAATAGATAAATAAAGAATCCCTAAAGAAAGCCCAACACGGCAAAATTGAAAATGTTGCAGGCTCGGTTTGATTGAGCCTGTTCATGGACGGTACTGGAAAGTGCAAGTTACCGTCCACGCCCCCTAGCACCGGCTTAAGCAGAATTCAACATTTAAACATGAAATGGTATAATTTTGAATTTAGAAACATCCGCAGATGTGTTCATACGGC